GATGTGTATAAGAGACAGGGACACTTGGGTCCCTTTCCTTGTTAGAATTTTTTTATACGATCAATATGTGTGTGTGTGTGGATGTGTGTGTTTTCAATTAGAATTCAAAATCTCCAAAAAGGAGACGCGGTAGTGGCTTGGTGTTAAGTGTTTACTAATAAAATATCATGTCATTATATGTCAAGCCACGCCGAGTCCCTTCACGCGAGCCGTCGCGTTGCGAGCATCTTCGATTATGAGATTTCAATAACGGTCGAACCGATTAAGTTCCAAGTAGGCTTAATCGACAGCGTGGGTTCGATTTGTGTAATAAAAGTATTTTTATTTTTTTTCTACGTGCTCTAAGAGCGAAGATATTGTAATGCAAAGTACGAAATAAACGAAATGTTGAGATATCAAAATATGTCGAATCATCGCTCGCGTCATGTTATGTATTTCGTCCCTTGTTTGCGTATATTTCACGTGTACACATCGTGTTCCGCTTCCGGTCAACGAAAAACCTTCAACGTCGTGTTTGAGAGGAGTCGCATGCCGCGCTCTTCAGTGCGAGCGTAGCCATAGCCGAAGCAAGACCAAGGAGAGAATAAAAGTGAATTTCAAGTTTATCCAAATCGCCTTTCTTCTCATTATCCCATACCTGCAGCCCCCGTACCCCAACACTTATAGTTAAAATTTTGTTTCGCCAAATTAAAGAGTACATTTTTGCAAATATTTTTCATTCTGATTATTAAATGATATAATATAAATCATATAAATGATATAAATTAAAAAAATACAGTAATTCGTACTATAATATGTAAAAGTTCAAAATATTTCGCAAGTTTTAAAATAAAATAAAAATTTCTTCCTGACTTATACTTTCCAAGATATGCAGTTAAAAAACGTCTCTTGCTTATTTTTACAATAACTTTTTAAATAATTAATACTTTTAACTAAAATTATAGAAATAAAAATAGAAAATTCTAGTCTTGTCAAATACTAAGAGAATATTAATATTAAACAAAATCGTATACCTGACTTTAAAGCGTTGGTGAACTGGCATGGAAATTGTTTTACTTAATTTTACCTTTTAAAACATAGTTGCTTTTAATTTCAGAAACGATACACGATAATATATCAGATAATACAGAGTATTTTCCTAGACTCAAAAAGAGGAAGAATATAAATTCCTCTTCTAACAAAAAAGAGTCACAAAGATAAGAGAGCAAAATAAAATAAATAAGAAACACTGTTCCAGCTGTAGACAACTAAAAGGTTTATTTTAATGCTTACTTAACAATTTTATACAAAATTTTCTAATATTTCTAATTTTATAATATTCAACGTTAAAACTACGAGGTCTGTTCAAAAAGTATCGCGAATTTTGAATTTCCGCGGGTTACGTATATTCGATTTCGATTTTTTTGTGGCGTTATGTTGGTACTCATGTCTCTCACTTACGCCGACAAGTTCGGCCATTTTGAATGTTTAGTTAATTTTTGACAGCTGCTTTGCTTGTACGTATTTTGGCTTGTCTTCGATTTTTGCCTATTCCAAAAAATGAAAAATCAAAGAATCTGTATCAAATTTTGTGTGAAAAACAAAATTAAGTGCGCGGACGCATTCCGAATGTTGACTGTGGCATATGGTGAAGTTACCTTGGACCGAAGCAACGTTTATCGGTGGTACAAAATGTTCTCAGAGGGCCGAGAAGATGTGAACGACGAAGAGCGTGCCGGACGAGCACGTCAACAACAGACGAAAACATTGATGAAGTGAAGAAAATAGTATTGGCCAATCGTCGAATCACCGTTAGAGAAGTTGCTGAGGACCTAAA